GATTTGTCTAATTTTGGAATTGGATAACTATTAGACTATATTAATATAGCAGAGCACCTATCTTTGAAGAGAAGAGAATAATTGAAGAAAAGAAAAAAAACAAGGAAATTAAATACTTTACTTTAAGTTTATTTATATGCCGCCCTTTTCCCTGGGGGGACTCAGGGCGGCTTACAACTTAAAAAGGGGGGGGGAACAAACTTTTAACATATAGAACAAACTTTAAATTTGTTCTATAGAATAGACTTTAAATTTGGACTAATTGTGAAAAGAGATAATTGGGGAGGTTTTAAAAGATTTTAAGATTGTTCTAAAATGGAGTTTCTGATATTTGGAAAAATACTTTTGATGTTGAAAGAAGCATGTGAATCTTTGATAGGTAATAAAGAAAAAGAAAATTTGTTTAAACATACAGAAAAGAAAACAGAGAAAGAATTTGAAGGAGGGGGGGGAAGTAAATGAAATACAAGAAGCTAAAAAACTAGAAGAGGAAGAAGTAAAAAATAAAAATCAGCCAGACACAGAAACGGATATAAAAGGAGAAAGAGTAGAGAGGAAAAGGGGAAAATTCTCCTGAAAAAAAGAAAAGGAAGCAGCTAAAAGACAAAAAGGGACATTTTGCAGAGACAAATGAAAGTTTTGGTGTGGGAGGTGCAAAAAAATAAAACAAAAAGGGATAAAAGGGACACAGAAGAGAAAATGCAACACATAAAAATAAAGAAAAAATAAATAAGACTTTGAGAGAACAGGATAAAAGACAGATCAAAGAAATCATTAAAAATTGAATCATTAAAATAATAAGAGATAAGGGGGGAAAATGTTAATAGAAGAGAGGTATAACTGACCCAGTCAACACTCTGTGCATAAAGTATGTATGATGAAAAAACAGAAAAATTGCTATAAAAATTTTAAAAAAAAGAATGATAATTATCCCATGTATTTGGCATATAGTCATTTGAATAAATGTGAAAAAAACTGCAGCAACTAGTAATAGTGGCCTGTTCTTAACTGCAACCGACCACAGTCTGAACAGTTTACAACCTTCAGTCATCCTACCTTTCTTTTCTCTTCCTCAATTCCACCTGACCTTATATAGTCCCAAGGTCAGAAACGATTCCCATGTCTCCATCAAATCTGGCTTACCTGAATCCCAGAGACCGTGAAGTAGGGGATTTCAAATCGGACCGAGATGGGTGGCCGACCTTCCAGCTCTTCCTTCTCAACGCTGGGCAGCCCAAAATGGGCTCGCATCAAATATTCTTTACCGCCCTGCAAATACAAAAAAGTTTTTCCTGGTGATCTGAATCCAGATTTCCTGGCCACTTGTTCCCACAGTACGGCTCTAATGACTAGAAGACAACCCCACCACCACCACCACTATTGGCAGTTTTTATCATAGCCCAAGCTTCATTATAATCTAGTTGGAAAGAATTCAGTACCTATTATAGAACCCCAGCAGTGGCTCTTACAATATTTGTCAGAAACTTCAAGATACAGTTAAAAGCTCTCCAATAAAATAGGGCCCCACTCCAAATTCAGCACCATATGACTTAATGAATGTTCCTGGCGAAGGTCTAACTGATTGGGAAGTGCTGCTGATGTAAAAGATGCAGGGCACTGATCAGAGAAAGACAAAAGGAATTTTCCTTACTTGGAAGGACTTTATGTTCCAGACAACCGTATTCTTTTCAGGCAGATACTTGGCATTGCCAATGTTGGTTTTGAATTTGGGTGAGTCAGCATCACTTGGGACAGGCACACTTATCTCCACACCATTGGCCACTGATTGTTTCTTGAACTGGCCCTTTGCCTTTTAGAGGGGGGAAAAATCAGATTAAAAATAACATATGGAAAAAGACATATTTCCCTGGTGAATTAAGTCTCTGACACAAGAGAAAGATCCAAAACTCAAGATGGTTTGGAGTCATTTCTTTTTACTCAACGAAGGCAGACATGCTGTTTTCTGCAGATTCCTTTGGAACACAGAACATATTGCAGAGTGTGGAACCTTAGAGCCGGATGGGTCTCAGGAGTCTTCCAGTTTAACCCCCTGCGCAAGGCAGGAGCCTTACACCGTCCCACTCAAATGGTTGTCCAGGCTATTTAAGATCTGGCTGCTCCGGCAGGCTGGGGGGCTGTTGAAATAGCCAGCCCCACGGTAACTATGAATGTTGTGTATTTTAAACTGTTGTTTATCTGTCTGTCTATTTATCCCCTTCCTCTGTTTATTGTAGAGTCCTTCGGGTGTGGGCGGCATACAAGACCAATAAATAAATACATACATACATAAAACATTTCTGAAAAGCTGAAGTGACGGAGCAGCCACAATCTGGGAGGCAACAACCTATTCTTACTTTTAGGTGGGATCTCTCTCTCTATGCTTGCCAATTGGAATCAATCAATAGGATTGACAGGAATAAAACATAAGAGGGTGCGTTTTATTAGCATCTAGTCTTTTTTTTTATTTTAAGACTGGAGCTTGCAGATAAAGGATGATATTGCTCAAAATAATTCACCTTAACCATAATCTCCACTCGGCTGTGAGAGAACTTCTCAATGACAGATTCGATCCAGATGAGAGGTTTCACCTTATTGGAATGGGGAGGGGGAGAGAAAGAACAAAAGATATGCATGAATTTCAAAGCTTCCAATATAATAGAAAATGTAGAATAGTTCAATGATTATTGCATTAAATATGATGAAAATTATCATCTCCTTGGAGCTGTTATAATTAAAACTCCATTAGTTTTAATTAGACTGCATAGTTGAGCAGCCTTATTTAATGTGGCAACAGCAGGAATAATACTCCATGAGACATAGTCTAACAATAGCAGCAATAGTACTTAGACTTATATATCACTTCACAGGGCTTTTACCGCCCTCTCTAAACGGTTTAGAGTCAGCATGTTGCCCCCAACAATTTGGGGCCTCATTTTACCCACCTTGGAAGGATGGAAGTCTAAGTCAACCTTGAGCCTGGTAAGATTTGAACTGTCAAATTGCAAAAGTAGCTCCACTCTAACCACTGCACCATTGTGGCTCATCATCAACAATCATTTATAGAGCTTCTAAATCAGTTTTTTTTTTACTACCAGTTCTGTGGACGTGGCTTGGTGGGCGGGACAGCGGAAGGATACTGCAAAATCTCCATTCCCACCCTACTCTGGGGCCAGCTAGAGGTGGTATTTGCCGGGTCTCCGAACTGCTCAAATTCTCTGCTACCGGTTGTCCAGAACCTGCTGAATTTCACCCTGTTCTAAATAATTTTTGATTGCAGCAGCATAGAAATATGTTTAAGTAAAATCAAGAATGGCTAATTTACTTGTTAACTGCAAAAACGCCATCAATACTATTTAAGAACTGATAGGAAGGAGAGATAGTCCCGGTTGGCAATACTGCTCCAGCTATCTTTAGCTGAAAAGTATTGTATTCTATTTGGCAATAGCACTTCGATTTACTGTATATGCCTCCCTGCAGAACTTTACAGCATTCTCTGGGAATCTTACAATAGAATCATATCTGGGTCCAACAATCTGGGTCCTCGTGTTACCACTCTCGGAAGGATGGAAGGCTGGGTCAACCTTGAGCCCCATCAGGATCGAACTCCAGGCTGTGCCCACAATACTATATTCTAATCACTGCAGCAGCAAACAACATATTTAATTTTATTTTGCTGGGGAAATGCTCAGAAGAAGAAGAAAGTGCTGGGATTCTATCAGATTAGAGCATATCTAATTATCTTGTGTAACACTGAGCTCATACTTTGCATTAAACAATATAACTCTTTTTGGGCTGGTTGCATGTGTTATACGCATGGCTGGCTTGTTGGTGCAAAGACCCCTGACACTCTATTCACAGCCATTACTGGGCATTTATCATGCTTGCAAAGTTTTTCAGATATCTCAATAGACAGTTTTCTGATAGGCAAAGAATCCGCCTGCTTGAAAAAGGAAACCATTAATTATCTGGACATATTTTCTTTTGTTCTCTCCTTACCAAAATAAAACCTCCCTCCCACAGCACTTTCTACTATTTTACAAATAGGCAACTGCCACTCTTGGACGTCAATCATTAGCCAAGTGTAGGTCTTATCTTGGTGAACCCAGAACCAAGGGAGGGATGCCTATCTGAGCAGAGGGAAGATGGTACATGAGATCACTCTTGCTGTGAGTAAAGTCCCAGAATATTTTTTCTCTCTGTTCTGTTGCCAGGAACAAAAATTTACCTGTGTACTCAGGCGATATGACATAAGCTCAAAATCTCCATCAGGGGGAATGAAGGAAATAGTACGATCATTGTCAAAACGTGATAGTCGCACACACTGGTGGAACTTGACATCCTCGAGTTCTACAGACTTATTTTTTCCACCTGAAAGTCAGAAGTTATTAAAAGACACATATAATCTCTGGCACAGTTTCAACACTAGACGTATTAAGAAACAATTGCCTGTTTTTGGTTGGAAATGTCACAAAACTTTAAATCTTCAATGGAAGCGAAGTTTCACAAAAGAGAAGGAAAAAAATGAGCCCTACTTTCTGATAATCAAATCCTATGCTGCAGAAGAAACTTATAAAGTTAGGAACAGCTTTGCGGAGCGGAAAGCTAAAAACTAAATAAAATTTAACAATACAAAATTCCAATTAAAAATTATAGCATAGTTGTTCTGACCCCCCACCTTGTTCATTCAGAAACGAAAGCCAAATGAAGCTTGCAAAGGAATGTCTTTATCAGTCCAGGCTCGAGCTGGCTG